AGGTAGGCAATATCAAGATCGCATGGCAATTTACTGCAATAATTATCTCATGGTGACGATGCGTTGGCGCTCTTGAGATGCCGATTCTGTTATTTCTAGCCACCCCGCTCTCCCGCTATAAGAAATGTCGCAAGTATGACCAGGCAGCACCCTCGTTTTGAGTCCTTTTCCTGTTCCACTTACAGTCTGGATCCCACAATCGCTTATTTTTACGTCTGCATACCCACAAGCAGTGGTTAATGCAATGCTTCTACACGGGGCAGTGACACTTCGCTCAAGTGGCATATGAAGGTTTCTGTGAGATTTTAATAATTCTGAGTCAGGACGAATGGTTGCAGTTCTGTTAAAAACGGTACGAGCTGTCCTAATCGAAGAAATGCTGGAGATATAGGCGATCTCACGTACCTCAACCTCTAGATCCGCGAGCTCTTGAAAAACCAATGGAATTCCAGTCTGGAAAAAAGTGAAGTCTTTTCTGAACTCTATCCTCGAACGCAATTTTCGCTTACTAAAACGCTGTGGGCAGAACACTGTTTCCTCCATGCTGGCCTCAGTGACCACATGTACTTGCAAAAAGCGGTCAAGCTCCTGTAGCGTGTTTGGAAGTTACCTTTCGACCTCCTTCTGCGGGGACCGCAAGTGTAAAAAAAACTCAAGCTATGTAAACCTTGTCCAACGTATCAGAACTACGGTAGGATCAAAGTTGGCAAGGCTGGGGGGCATCCCTTAGTGGCAGCTTGACTCCGTTGTGGATTTCGCCATTCCGAGTAATTCTTAGTTTAAAGAAAAACAATTCCTGCACTAAATGACAATTTCGCCTAAAAAAGGTCAATGAACTCTTCCTCTCTACCTCTTAATAAACTTTCCTTATGTGTCTATTCGAAAAAAAAATGCCTAGGAGCAGGTATTCCTTTCTAGAATAGTCAATCTGGCCTTAGCAGGACATTCGCTTCCCAGTTCTACTTTTCTGACTACTTAACCAACCGAGTCAGCTAATGCGCCTCCAGGCGGCTTTCTGACCTGTTCCTTTAAGTGGAAGTTAATTTTTTTCTGTTGCTGCGTGTGTATGTGTGCAGACTTCGGGAATTTGCATAAAGTGCACCTGCGCGGTTTAAGTTCCTGGGACTGCTGTGTGCACCTCCTACACTTAGGTGCGCAGTTTAAAGTTGGTTATGCATAGGTGCCATCTGTGAGAGCCGGTGAGACACTTGGAGATTTTTTTCGCTACGAGATTCTAGGGCTACCTTACTCTTTCCTTTCAGATCTCAACCGAGTCGACAATGTCTATCCCAGTCAACGGCCGCGTGCGGTGAAGAATATGACGTAAGTAAAGGGTGTTGATATTCCACACTAAAAGCCAAATTTTGATTTCCCTAGCTAAATCTGTGATTAGGGTAATTATTTCAGTACATTCCTGAAAAATAGGTTTATCATTTTACAGGAATTTAGGAAAACAGGCCTCGGCAGTTGACATCTCTCGACAAAACCACTCCGGATCTAGTGAGTTCTTTTATTGCACACCCTTGTCAGTACTTCGATCAATTGATTCTATCATGGTTACTTTAAAATTGCTAGTAGGCGTTTTATGCTTATTTAGGCCTCTCTCTGATCCACTTTCAGCCTCCTTTTTGGCACCACGACGGGTCTCCGGAGGGGCTTTAAGTGACTTTGGCGGCTTCAGAGGCCGTGACAGTGGGCAGACACTACGCGCCTCCAATACAGTCATCCAACAGAAGGACGCACATCAAACGGTCTGGGCTCAGAAGTCGCCGGCAACACCACTTACGGGGTCGCCTACAACACTGATGCAGGTTCAGGAAACAGCACCGACTTGGTATCGGCTGAAGATTTCCCGACAGGAGGGTGAGATTATATTACCTATTTGCTTGCCTCTGGAGGCAGAAATTATGCTCGGATAGGTGTACTGACTCACCTGAAACGCTGTGTGTTTGATATCCTTCACCGCCAAAAACCTGACTAGCTGGGGTTGTAACAGAAGGTAACTGCGATCCTGCACACAGTGAAAGAACGACCTTGTTTCTGTGTGTTTTACAATCTTCTGCCTTTCCGCCTCCAGATCAGTCGCACTTGCTCAGGGCTGAAAAGCATTTTGGGCATACTTTAAACATCCCATCTGCATATACTATCGACTGGCACTAGAATAGGAAGAGAAAGAATTGAGCTTACTCTCCTATGCTTGAGCTTTCTTGTTTTTCTCATGTGAGTTGCAAAATTCACGCAAAAATGCAACAATATATCATATTTCATGGCGTGAGGACAAAACAGCAATTGGTAGGAGGTAAACTTTGACCGCAGTTGGTGCTTGCGCACACTCCTACAACACTATGACAATCACACCTTTCCTTCTGAACCCGCTATAGAGTTAATGTAATAGAGATGTGATTGAGTTCAAATAAGTTCACCAAGTCACCAACTGTAGCTGGCTCGTTTTATACGAAAAGGTTCATTTCGCATATGGAAATGAACATGCAGCTAATGATTTTTAGGGTGACAAAACGGCCGTAAGCACCTTGGCCACTTAATACTCTTGTCGAACCCCGAGAGCTCCTTTCTCTTATATGACCGCAGACAGCCCTGCCACCATAAGATATTTAAACGATACCCATATAAGCATTGAGGAAGCCAAGTTGGGCGAACGAATGTTTCCGAGTACTTCATCATCAAACTAGTAAAATAATATAAGGGAGAATAGAGTTGTCAAAATTTTAAGCAACCAATCGGTAGTAACAAGAAGGAGAGGGGGAGAGGTGTTAAGGGGTCAAAAACATCATATTCTAGTCATAATTAGGGAC